GGGCACTTTTCCGACCAGCGGATTGTCTTTAAAGGCATCGTCTTCGGAGGGCTTTACATCGAATACTGTCATGCCGATTTCGATCAGTCTGACATCAAAAGAACAAAAGCTTCTTTGTGTTGTACTGAGGGATCTCCTTTGTCCAGAGGGGCCAAACTCCCATGGCGCGCCGGGTCAACGTTTTCATGCACGATGGACCGTACATTTTCCACTTCCGTGCGCCACCCGGTCTTAACAGTGCCGTCGGTAGCGGCCTGCTCCACAATTGGGTGACCTTGCGCTTAAGCCTGGCTCAGCCTAATAGTTGATGCCAGTCCCTTACTGGATATGATGAGTTATTTGCTGTCAGACTATCCATATTCACAATGTAACGCAGCAGTCATTATCAGACATGCGCCTAGTTCCAAGTTTTCTTCCCGGTAGCTGGTTCCTGGTTCCTGATTCCAGAACCAGGAAGAATGTGTTATCTGTATCGTATTAGCGGCCATGGTTCCCTTCCGCTCCCCTCTCCCTCCATCAGTTTGCAAATGTCACGAAGAGTTTAGGTTATGACAGTCCTACCAGAGAAATGTCAAAGCGTGTGATTGCAGTTTACATGACGTTTATCCATGTGGGATATTTACGTTCGTGTGCAAGGCCTTAAGCAATACAAATTATTGCCAATCCACAAATACTGGCGCATTGCGATCCTATTTTTAAAAAGTGGAGTTACTAAAATTAGGGACGTTGCAAAGCAGCAGTTAATCTCCTTAGTGCATAGTAGGCTTACTTCGAACCTGCGAGCTGCAACGGATGCCCTGCTTACGCTAGTAGATATCCCTAGAGTAACCACAAGAAACAGATGTCTTTTTCATGAAAAACTCACCAAAAAACCATCATTGTCGTGTGGCGACGTGGGTTAGCCCCTGTCTCTGGAATTCCAACGTGTCACTTAAACTACCCATAACAGATGCTCTTGAGGCAACAAAAAGTTGCATGAAGAGGCTCACAGGACATCATTTTCTTGAAGAGTATACTTCTTCGTGATGCATTTGACGAACCATGTGGCTGGGTGTCCTACGTGTATATATATTTTATGACTATTACGTACGCATTCACCCCGTAAATGGCGAATCTGTTTTTCGATCACCCACCTGCAACAAGCTTGCTTAGTCAGGTGAGTAGCGGAAAGTGGAGCCTTCGACTTCATCCCTCGGGCTAGACCTTTGCCACTCCCAGCCTGCGTGAATATTGCTGGTGAATATTGCTGTACTAAAATCGTGGGAGTGGGCTACTTTTCTGCGACTTGCGTTTCTTATTTTTGCTGTTAATGTATGGTTCATCGTGTCGCATGGAATAGTGGGAGGGTCACTACTGGCTGCCCGTTAAGTTGTTTACGGGTGGGCGGCGGGGTGGCAGCCAGGGCCGTAGGATAATAGCGCAACAGCACGGTGGCAGCACAGAATTATTGAAGCCAAGTCGAAGAGCAGAAGCCGAGGGTCTTGAAAGGGGTGAGCGAATTTCATGTAGTCGAACTTCAAGTACCGTCAAGCGTGCGGCTCTGGTCAGATTACTACCACAGGATCCCCTCATACTGAGTGCTCGGAGTTTGACATGCAAGACGTTCTTGTCTATCACGGTCAATAATGGCGAGGAGCAGTGAAGAGAGAAGGGACAAAAAAAAATACTGAGCGAGTCCTAAATGCCTCATCAAAAACAAGCGTCCACAGACGGACGGGTGTAACTTCACAAAATGAGATGGTGTAGGTGAGCTGAATGGTGTAAACTTACTCCAGCTACCACCAGATTACGGTAACAAATAGGCTTTTGCACAGATTTAGCACGTTCTCTTCTCAAAGTTCGGATGGGGAGGGGGGGGGGGGAAGGGAGAGGGAAGAGAAAGGTAAACCCTGTGGGCGAGACATTTGCGTTGATGTTTGAGTGTGTCTAGTACGCGGCGTTAGGCGGCACAACATAAGTGATGCCACTCAGTGCCGATAGCGTGACAGGGGCGTATTTTGCAAAATGTATTGGCGTGGGGGTAAGAGCAGTTCAAATTTATGAGACCCACCTCAAAAGTACACAAGCAAACGCTTTTTCGCGGGTTTGCTCACTTTCTTCACAAAATTGGGGAGACTGGAGTTTTAGTGTAGGAGGTGGGGGATCACTACTAAGCAGGAAACTACACCCCTGCAACCTGAGGTCATTAGTTTATTGTGTGCGTACTCGGTGCACATGAACATGGCCGGTGGCCTCGAGGAGAGAACGCAAGTAACTGAATAACCATCGCCCTGATTCGCCGTTTTTAGTAAAGCGGACTTACAGCGGGGTCGATGCGACACCACCCGTCCGTTTGCCATCGAACAGCACGTCGATTGCCGCCCACCGCCCTCGTTGGCCGTAGATCGCCGCGGAGTGCCCCACATTCAGGGGACGCAGGGGCGTAGAAGGTGGAGCGATGACGACACTGGCCAATGCTGGGTGGAAAGAAGAGGCAAGGTGGGGCGGGGGGGGGGGGGCAGTAGCCGAAGTTCATACTGTAATTGGTGTGAGGATGAAAGAAACATCCCTCGCAATTTATTTTGACAATTTTCTTTTGCCTATCGTCATTGTGTGCTGTAATCCGCCACCCTCTTCTTTTCTGTCATGTCCCTTCATGCCATCCCCATTACTGTCCTAGCTTATTTTGCTTGCTGTTCTACACCCAGGGTGCCGGTAGTGCATTGGATCAGTGTACTGGTACTTGAGTGTTTGCGTTAACCACGTTTTGCGTTAACCACGTACACGTTTGGGAAACCAGAGGAACAGGGTTCAATTTCTCGCGGTGCCCTCCCTTTCTGCCAGGGTGAGAGGCGAGCGACGTCATGGCCTCAGCAGTTGAGCGCGACATTAAGTCCCGATAACGACTGCTGTTTCATGCGTTTCAAGGTTTTGCCCTGTCCTTTCCTACCCTGTGCTATTATCTTCTCCTCAATCCTGTTCTAACTTGTCCTCTCTCATCCTGCCCCGGCCGCAAACATGTCCTGTTCTGTCCTATTGCCACCTATCCTCCATTTCCTGTCTTCTGGCTGTCATGGCACGCCCAGTGATGGCGAGACTTCCATGGAGATCGGGGGACGAAAAACATGATTTGTATCCCTTCTTTATTTGCTGCATGCCCATGCGTGTAATCCGCCAATGTTGTCTGTAGAATGTTTATTTTATTGCAAACTTCCAATTCAAAATGTCATTATCATTACAGGTAGTCTCCTTTACATTCCAGTCTCAGTCTTTCAATCCCGATTGTCCCCACGAGCTCAGAGTCGTGATTACGCCCCATGCCCAAAAAGCCAGATTTCTTGGACAGTATGTTGCTTTCTTAAAGATGATTCCCAATGCCTGTCAACTTGTTTCTGTTTTGCGTCTCCCTGACTCGTTCTTGTCCTGCTCCACTTCGCTGATATGTCAACGTCACTTACTTCTCCACGCGTACCACTTCGCCGTTTAATACATATGTGTTATATTTGTCAATTGTGTGTGTACAGCAGCGATTGCCCAACAGTACAGTAAGAAAACTTGTCTAATTTGGTAGCTTTGCAGCGGATTTATGTCAGCAGTGGCGTTTTTTATCTACCGGAATAAAAACTGCTCGGGCAGGTTCAGGTTTTCGTATGAGTTTCCTTTAGAACATGATGGCTGTTTGCTGAAAAGTGATGCATGCTTTCAAGTGTAATGCAGCATTCACGCTCTTTACAATCGTGGGAAAGTTATGACATAATACTAATTCAAACTCCAAAGTTTTTACTGTCGTAGCATCTGCTTCATGTTTTTACAAACGAGAGCCTGTCAAACGTTTAATGGAAACTTAAGTTCTACGACATGATTACACATCTTGTACATTTCCAGCACCTAACTAAAATCTACGCACTGGATTTTTGTTTGTAATAGGGTATGTGGACAGTCATCAGTTTGGACCAGGGCTGGCTTAGGGCTTTCTGTCAGTTGCTCATCGAACAACAACAATGCCTCGAACGATTGAAACGAATATCACTTCTGATATTCGTCTTCTTTAAGGCACGTAGCTCCCCCCCCGAAAAAATATTTTCTCTTTTCTATCCCTCTATCCGCATCCCCCTATCGGTACCCTATCTCTCTTTTCTTCTGGTTATACCACGAGAAATAATGCCACCTGTACCGTCTTTTCTCTATGCATAATGTTTCCCGCGAACGCACTGAACAGCTTACGTAGGTATGGTATTATCCTGAAAGTTAGTGCTTGACTTCGTTTTACCGTTTCCGTTTGCGTGCCAGGTGCTGTGGAATGATGACAATTGTTCAGTTTTTATCGGCAGCAGAACGTGAAGCGTAACTTTGCTTGCTAACGACGTTTATTCGGTACCTCTTGGCATATCGAAAGTCGATAACTGTCAGCAAAGAACTCCAGAAGCTCCAAAGCCTGTATTGTTTATATCAAGCATGTTGATCTAGGCAAACTGAACGGTGCTGGACTCTTCGTGACCCAGTGGTGGAGGTGAGTTCCATGATCCTGGGAGATTAGGTCATTTTTTCGGTTGGGGGTTTTCCAAAGGAGGGTAATTATACACTGGCTGAGCCCGACGCTCTCAGTGGACGGGCGAGTCCGGCCAATCGGTGGTCGACAGGTACAATGCATTCTGCCATGGCCCTCCGTCTGTTTCTCCTCCTATATGCCTCCATGGTTAGAAGCTTGACGGTGCGCACGCCGCGTAGCTCACCTCCAGTGCATCACGAACCGTTCGGGGGCCCCTTGTATATGACCCAATGTCCTCTTCCAAGCACCGGCCGTGGTAACGGGTGCCTAGCTGACCTGACAGCCACGTCAGAAGGCCTGCGGCGGGGGCTGACGCTTGGCCCCGCAACGGGTTACAAACCGGTGACGCATTAAAGAGATGCCCCGTGGCCTAGTTTCTGCCACCTATCGTTACGTTACGGTGGTCAGCGCTGAGATCACATAGCGAGGCCGACCAACCGCCGCCGGGCTGAAACTTGACCTACCTTCACAGTGATCCGGCGTCTGGCTCGGGCGGCGAGGGCAGCGAAGCGGAGGCGTGGGCAGGCCATTCTGCCAACCCAGAGGACGGGCGCGCGTCACCCCTCCGCCGCGGCCACAGTCGTTGCGGCGATGCTGGCGGCGGCCGCGCTTCTCCTGCTGGCGGCGCCGATCGTAGCCGCCCCACCCAACCTTTGGGCAGCGGCACGTGCGCACGCCCAGCTCGTGACAATAATCGACGCAAGCTTGGCCTCACTCAACCTGTGGCGCAGTGAGATGCACAAATGCCCACCCGTAATAGGGGAGCTCGCAGAGTGCTCCTGCGACGAGGAGTGCGCGCTGTACGGAGATTGTTGCCTGAATGTGAGCCCGCAGGCCCTGCCCCGCAACGACTTGGCATGCAGGCGATCCCCAGATTTCGGGTATGTGTACATGGTGTCCCGGTGTCCGGTCCAGTGGCGGGACACCTCGGTGCGAAGCCTGTGTGCTCGCAACGCGGCGTTCGCCGAGGATCCGTTCGCGGCTTTACCGGTTACAAGCCCCGCCAGCGGGATGACCTACAGCAACTATTACTGCGCCATATGCCACGGTGACTTAGCAGGGTCTGTGTTTTGGACGCCGGCGATATCCTGTCCGACACTGACCAAAGAGCACCAGGACGCCCTCAATATCACCGATACCTTCATTGAAGAGAACTTACTCCAGAACCCTGCTGGAGAGTGGGGATTGCAGTTAATGGACGAAAACAACGGAACGTTTCATGCGTGCGTAATTTCCCTACATTCGGGCAATAACGACAAAGAACATTTGATGCGGAACTGTCAACCCAAAATTTCCAGCTGTGCGGCTAACTGGACCAACCTAGAACTCGCCCTAATGTGCACCGCGTACAATGCCTACATGTATCACGGCAGAATCAGGTACCGCAACGCGCACTGCGCCCTGTGCAACTATGTACCACAACAGTACATTACGTACTGGCCGGCCACCAACAATTTTGCTGAGGGAAGGCGTCCTCGCATGCATTCATCAGTCTTTTTTCTCGACATCACCACCCGGTCGGGCATGAACGCAGTGGGAGCAGCCAGGATCTGTACCGGCGCCCGACTCTGGGACCCGTTCTTCAAGATCTGCAGGGAAGTCTCAGTTTCCTCTGGCGTCACCAACGCCACCGGCTCCCTGACCTGCCCCAAGGTTACCGTAAACGAGTACCAGTTTCAGGTCAGCGACAAAGACGTCGCGTACGTGCTGGCGTATGACCTGTTCTTGGATCGCGGCTATTACGAGCTCAGTGACGGACAGCTAACCTTTTGTGACCCGCGTTTCCAACTTAAAAGGTTCCAAACCGCCTTTTCATACGCCTTGGTGGCATGTCGTACAGCGTCCGTGTTGTGCCTCCTGCTGCATCTGGCGGCGTTCTGTGCCGTGCCCGAAACACGGAACCTGCCCGGAAAATGTGTGACGTCCTTGTGCGTCTGCCTGCTTATCGGCTACCTCTGCTCCATGGCGGCATTGTGGCAGGATTACGGCACCGACGGCTGTGTTCTGCTGGCCATTGTTAATTTCAGCGCCTTCGCAGCAGCGCTATTCTGGGTCAATGTTATGGCGATCGACGTCTTCAACACCCTCAGGTGAGTAATATTGGGGAGCATGAGAGCATGACATACGACACCAGGGCATGAACGCATGATCCGCGTCCACTCTACCGGCTGATAAAAAAAGAAACCAAAAATCGCTTTACGCTAAATGACGAAAAGACTGGCGCTCGTGCGGGGACCTTAGCTGCATCAGCCTTTTCGCGTCACGCATGTAAAATGTCTCACAATCCGTTTCTGGTCCAACCTGCGCTAAAATCGCCGACATCAGTTGATCTATTGACACCCAAAAATTGTCTCTGGTTTAAATCCAGATTCAGGAGGCATGTAAAATGATTATACGAAAGCAGGAATGGAAGGGGCGTGTGGGTGGTAACTACCATGTCTATAAGAAACATTGACGTGCACCCTTTCATGTTGCATGGCGACAACTGGGGTAGCATCTTTCTCCATCCCAAAGCGATATGCCAGCACTAGCAAAGAGCAATAATTAGGAAGTGCGATTGGCTTGACATTAATTGATATGACAAATGGCTATCGAGTGCAAAACATGCACCAATCCGAGTGCCTCTCAGATGCACCACCTGTTACCTGAAGGCCGCAATCAGTTGCAAAATTCTCCCTCAGAGCTTAGTGGCCGTGGAGACCTTACATCAGCTGTGAAATACGTGTGCAAGTAAACTACGATATCAGCGTGCATAAGTGTAGGTGCTGATGAAAAAAATGTTCCACATTTGAAGATGTCGAAGGAACCGCCACATATAATGAAAGAAGCTGACTCATAACTATTGGTACACTTGTAAGTGGAAAAGGCTGCTCCAAAAAACATAATTTGTGTTTGGTAAGCGTACTCCTCAATACGCCATTGTTTGATTGCGTCATCGTATTTTGCACAGCATTGACTGAGAGCGAATTGACGGCCGATATATCTAGAGGTCGTGCTCACGAACGCCAGATATAATTGCCTCGACAAGTATGTCTTGCTTGGCCTTGATCGTTGCATGGCTAATGGAACGACGGAATTTGATTGACGTGATTTTGGCGTCGTGGATACCTGGGTAACCTTGAAATGGTCTCCCCGAAAAAGTCAGCACATCCTCGCGGGCGCGTAGCTCAGAAACTAGAGGAATTTGTTGAGGTATTCACAAGGCAAGGCTGCTGACTGCACCGGATGATATTCAAGATAGGTAGATGAGTTTAAAACCCCATAGAGATGTGAAATACTTCCTTTAACTGCGAGGTTACCTCTGCCTGGACACTTACAAACAGTTATCAATAAAAACAGGTATACGGGAACTGTTGCGTTATGGAGGGCGGGGATGACGTTGCAGGTTCCAGTCCCCTCTAATACTCGAATGAATTTAGCACTAGACTACGGCCGTGCATGACGGCTTAAAGTGTCTATGAGCCCCAATCTTAGGAAACTTCCGCGTTCTCTTATTGGTATGCGAAGTACCAGCAGAGAATTCTTGATTCACTGGACATACCGACCTGGAAGGTTTGGGTCAGCTGGTGCCTTCATGACTGTAGTATTAACGCCAGCAAGCATAGGTAGGCGCTTAAGGCAGGCAGTCTGCAGGTACGAACCATTTTAACTCAAGGGACGCGATTTTAATGCATGAAATACATACTTACCACCGCGCTGGAACTTAAATTTGCATCTACGATGTGTCAACTTTCAGCAGCAGAAGAATATGCAACTAAAATCCCGCCACACCATAACAACAAGTTTTCAACATCATGTCCAAGAAATGCTGGTTTGCATGATAACAAAACTATGCCGATAGAAAAAATAAATTATTAGTACGGCCGGATTCGAAACATATTGTTAAGTGGTATAGTGGTACGCGGATATAAGTGGCGCATGGCTAAGCTAAGTGTAAGTGATTGTTTGCCTACCCCTGTCTCATGCCTTAGCAATGAACTAACTGACGAGTGGCGGGCACCGACCGTCGTAGGACATCGTTGCTGTTCGTTGTTGACGGCCGTGGGGCTGCAGGGAAGCTTGTAACGATATGTTAACGTGCATTGATACGCGCCCGGATGGCCGGTTGGGAACCCTTCGCTCGGGTGGGGGTCAATTTGGCGCCCCTAAGATCTCAAAAACTAAGAGGGCTAGAGATACCAAATCCACACTGTGTGTTGGCCTCTACGAACTCACTTAGGTAAAAATTTGAGCCGCCTTAAGATCAAATAGGGCCACACGTTGAGATGGTCTCCAAATTGTCCTCCGAACCTAGATGCTTGTTCTAAGCAAAAGGTCACATGCTCATTCAGGGTAAGAAATGGTTTGACCTTTCGAAGGTTGTGGTGACCAAATCATAGAAGACTGTTGAATTTGCATTGGAATGCGCTAAGTTTAGGCCAGGTAGTATATTCAAAGACCAATGCTAATCTGGGTCATGTTAGGTAGTGACCTATTCTGACCTATAAGAAGTCCATGTAAGACGGTCCATGCGGTTTCTGTCATCAATAATTCGAAATGAGCACAGAAACTACCCTATAGCAACCCTCAAAGTAATAAAACAGGTTGTTTTGACCTTGGTCTGACCCTTTCATCTGACCCTAGGTTAAAGGAATTCGATCACTCAGTTGTGTTGCCTAGGAAAGCATCTCCGAGATGTATGCTTCGTCCAAACCCCGTTGTTCCATCAGCTTCAACGATTCCCTCGAAAT